GAGAGGGGTCTGAGCCAAGGCCCTTAGCGCTCAGCCCAATCCCTGCCCACCCTGGCCCTGCCCTCACCTTGATGATCTCCACCAGCTGGTCTACCCCACTGTCCCCAGGGAAGATGGGCTGGCCCAGGAGGAGCTCGGCCAGTACGCAGCCAGCTGACCACACATCTGAGGAGGAATGGGGCAGGGTCAGAGCTACCATGCCCATCCCTTGGCATACATTTCTATCCTTCATGGTCATCCTGAGAGATGCCAGGGAGCCCCATTTTCTCGGCTCAGAGAGGAAGTGCCTTGCTCAAGGTCACACACAGCTTAGGAACACAGGAGCCTGACTCTGAACCTCCAAGTCTACCTGACTGCACTGTACTCTCCAACCTAGATGTTTCCATTGCCTCTCTCCACTCTGTGACCCCAATAAGCCTTTTCTCTGCCTCTAGCTTCAGAGGACAGATCAACAGGCCAAGAACAGGTACCTGTGTTCTTTGGACCTCAGGAAGGTAAAGCATTAAGTGGGCTGCCTTACTCACTTCTGGCCTCTATCCTGCCCTTGGGAATAGCTATAGGCCGGTAGTCACCCCTCCCTGGTCTGAACCTTGACCGCCACAGCACAAGTTCACATCTAGGGACCATGAAGTTTCCTCACACTGCTGATGACTGTTCTCTTCCAAACACTTTCACACCCTCTCCTAATGCCTGGAAATTGGCGCTGTCATCCCCAGCAATAGGGAAGGACATGGAGGCCCTGTGAGCAGGTCACACCTTCACGATGGCAAAGCCTTACCTCCCGATTCCCCCAAGGTCACCGTCAGCCCCTCCCCCTGCCTGAGAAGAGAGGACTGACTGGGAGGTTCCAGAGCTGGTATGGACTCTGGAGTCAGGTCAGCTTTCAAAGCCCAGCCCTGCCCAGTCCCAGCAGTGTGACTGCGGGCAGGTGGCCTCACCACTCTAAGCTCCAGACTGCTCAACTATAAAATGGACGTATGACAGCATCACCTTCCTAAATTTGAGGACTGGCTAAAAGAACAGATGTTAAGCTTTTATCACCAAGCCTGGCAGACACACAGAAAGAACTCAAAAACTGCCATGACTGCTATTCCCACCCACACCCTCCCTCAAATCTGACCGATGGATGAGGTGTAATCAGTGGCTCCGAAGATCAGCTCTGGGGCCCGGTAGTAGCGAGAACAGATGTAGGAGACATTGGGCTCTCCTCGGACCAGCTGCTTTGCACTGTGGGAAGATATGCGTAGGCAGGAGTCAACACAAGCCAAGGGTCGGGATCCCTCCTCGCCCCTTCAGCCACCCAGCACACCCCAGGTCAGGCCCACCTGCCAAAATCGCAGAGCTTCAGGACAGCGGTGTCGGGGTCCACCAGCAGGTTCTGGGGCTTGATGTCGCGGTGACACACACCCTGGGAGTGGATGTAGGCCAAGCTCCGGAAGAGCTGGTACATGTACACCTGGGGCAGGCAGGGGACAGCAGAACTCCAGCCCAGCTCTCCCCGCAGAGCACACCCCTGCTCCACCATCTTGGCCTGAAGAGCCCTTCCACCCACTCTCCCTGACTTGAAAACAGTTTGCTGCCCCTTGGTTCTCAAACTTTAGCGAGCACCAGAATCACTTGGCGGCCTTGTTAAAACAGGGACTGCGGACTGCTGGGCCCCACTCTCAGAGTTTCTGATTCAGTCGTTCAGGATGAGGCATTTGCAACAAGCCCCTAGTGCTGGTGCTGGTCCATACTTTGGAAACCATTGCTTCAAGCACACACTTCAGCAGAAGCCTGATGAGTAAGACAGATACATCAGGAAGGCCTTCTTTTAAAGCAGGCCGGGGAGCCTCACCAAAACCACCGGCTATAGGAAAAGCTCAGCCTCCTCTGCCCACCAGTCACAACCACCCACGAGCCAGCCCCTCTCCAGCTGGATTTTCCTGCCACCCTCTTCCCTACTGACGAGGATGTAAGTGCCAAAAGAGCAGGGATCTTTGCGGTTCCATCACTGCTGCAACTCCCAGGGCCTAGACCAGTGCCTGGCACATAATATCTGCTCAGGGATGCTCCTTGGGCCCCCTCCTCCTCTGTTCCCAGTGCCCTCGGCCAGAGATGCCACTTTCTTGCCCTGTGCCTGGTCTCCTCCCAGAAGACTTCCTTGATCCTTCTCACTCCCAAAGCAAGCAGGGCCTCTGTTTCCAGAATCCCCTGTGCTCCTTCCAGTATGGTAGTTGCTAGTAGTTTTATAGTTCTCTTTGATGACACCTGTCTACCCTGTTAAACTGAGAGCTCTTCAGGAGCAAGGCCTGGGTCTCAGTCAACTGGGCTTCTAGAACTGCTCAGTGCTGGCCCCGGAACACAGGCAGCCACAGGACACATTCAACAAACCACACCACTGCCTCCCAGGAAGCGAGGTCCCACAGCTCCCACCACTGGTAGAGCCCCAGGGCTCACCTAGGCCTGGGGTACTTAAAGCCAGCGGGAGGAAAAATGGGGCCCCATGCAACCTCCAACAAACTCGCACCCAACCTCCACCTCCCAATGCAGCTGGCTGCTCCAGCCTTGTTCTCTACAGCATCCCTAGCCCAAACACTCATCCATTCGTTCAAACACCTCCTTACGGATAGTATCATACAGGGCACAGCACCAATCACTGGGGAATAAGCCTGCACAGGTGATGAATGAAGACTCATGTGTTCCTGGCTCTGTGGGCACTAACCTTTCGGCAACCCTGCCTCCTTCCCATCACCCCTCTGCCAAGGCTCCAAAGGCCAAGACTCTGAGCTCATCGTCTCCCCTCTGCATTCTAGTTCCCCACCTCGATTCTGAGCTAACTCCACCAACACTAACTGGTACCAATGGGCTCCCAGTATGGACCCAAGCAGCCTCCCCAGCCTGGTCAGCCTGCCTCCCTGATTGAGTCAGGCCTTGGGTTGGGCTGCCCTGCCTTTGGTGCGCTCCATCTCTGGGGGTATAGGGACAAGGGCAGGGAACATGAGGCCTCCAGAGACCAACGTAAACTTGGAGATGAGGGAACCCACAGAGGCAGGAGTGTCTGTCCGGAGCTCCTGGCTTTGTGGGCCTGGGCCCCAGCAGCCTGCCTGCCTGCCTACCTTGACATAGATGATAGGGATGGTCAACTTGGCCTTGGTAAAATGGCGGGCCACCCGGTACACCGTCTCGGGCACATATTCCAGCACCAGATTTAGATAAAGCTCATCTTTCTGCAGAGAGCAAAGGAGAGGTGTGGGGCATTGTGAGAAAAGAGCAAGGAACGGGGGGAGGGAAGGTTTGCGGGGAATAACGGGGGAAGAGACCAGCAGTCATGAGGAAGGCAGGCAGGCAAACGGGTGGAGCCAAAGTGGAGGACTCCTCCACACGCTGAGGTCTCACCTTCTCCCCACTGGAGTAGAAAAAGTATCTCAGCCTCACGATATTGCAGTGGTCCAGCTTACGCATAATCTGCAGCTCTCGGTTCTTGGGGGCAAAGGAAGGCAGCCTCAGAAAACCACCAGCTCTCCCTGCCTCCCCTCCCTAGCACCCCTCACCACAGCTCTACTCCCCGACTCCTGCCAACAGAGCCAAGCAGCTGCTCCCTGTGTCCCAGCTCCAAGGCCCCATGGCGCAGCCCCTAATTCCTCACCCCCAGCCCACCCCCCTCAAACACAAGCTGTGGGCTAAACTCAGACCACTTCTATGTGCTTTCTGCAGCCTACTTTTTAAAGATGTTTGATTTTTTGCTGAGATTTACCAATCAAATGACTTCACATATAATCTAAATTTTCCAGCTTCTCTTTAAAAATCAGATGATGTGGCCACATGAGGCCCACCTCTCTGCCTGGCGCAAGCAACAACAGACAGGAAGTGGCCATCCAGTTCACCCTGGTCCCCACTCCTCCCCACTGCTTTCACTAGACGCATCTGAGCCCTTGGACCCCGGCTTGGTTCCAGAGTCCCAGACTCCAAGCTTCCAATCCTCATCTTCCCAATGGGGATCCAGCCTCAGCCTCTTCCCAGGAGACCCAGTCTCAGCATTCTTCTCTATTCTTTGTTCCCCTCAGGGCCTCAGAGCTCCCTAGCCTCAGATCCCTCTCACTTCTGGGACTCAACTATAATCAAATTCTGAGCAGCACCCTGGAGCTCCCCTGAGAGTCCTCACTGCCTGGGACCTAGGCTCTGACCTGGTTCCCTTCAGCCTAGGCTGTTCTCCTACATCCAGAGCAGCCTAGGATCCAGGGGCCTCTACTAGCTCACAGGGCACCTCTGTGTGAATGAAGAAAGGGTACTCCTTCCTCAGACAGGACAGAGTCCCAAACCAAGGCATGTGCAGCACAGGCAGGACGTCTCCCCGCACCTGCCAAACCCTTAGGGCAGAGCTTGACCTTCGCAAACATACTCATTAGCCCCACCAGCTTCCTTTCTCCTCTGGGCAGGGGTGTAACTTAGTGGTTAAGGTGAAGGGCTTGGGAATCAGACTCTAGTCTTGACCTTGGGCAGTTCTCTCATCTGAGTCTCAGTTTCCAGTTTCTGCTTACTTAGAATGGGAATAACAACAGTACCTACCCTCAGAGAATCTTTCCATAAGTTAAACTCACCTATAAAGCACTTAGAGCAAAAGCCCAATAAAAGTCAGCTCTGGACTCTCCTGGAATCCACATTCCCATCTTCCACACAACTCGCTCCCTTCTCCTCTGGCCCATGCTCAGATCCCCCGTGGAAGCCCAAGTCCAGCACTCTTGCTGGAGTTCTCTCACCAGTCATGTGCAGTCAAACCTCCTTGTCCCCATTCCCCCCAAGCTACCTTGAACCTCTTGTCCTGGAGAACCTTCTTGATGGCCACCAATTCCCTCGTGTCTGCCAGCCGTGCCTGGTACACGACCCCAAATGAGCCACTGCCAATCACTTTGATGTCTGTGTAAGCCACCTCCTGGGAGCGTTCTGGGCCTTGGCCTAGAGTAGCTACCACTGTGGTCACCTTCCCACTGTCACCTGGGGAGCAAAGGGAACACAAGATCTACTGACCTTTCCCCTCTGGCCACCACCCCATAATGGGGCTGTGAGAGGGAGGGGAGTCACTACAGGAAGCTCATTGGGGGGGTTCTTTGTCCCTTCCCCAATCTTCAAAGATGGCTACTGGATGCCTCCCAGTGCCCTTTCCCCTCTACCCTTCATGGAACCCCAAATCCTGACTCCTCCCATAGGGGAGGATACTGACACATAAAACCTCTTGCTGTTCAAGGGTTGGTGACCCCCAATTTCCACTTCTAGTAAGCAGCAAATCAATGGTCCCTCCTGATTTGAGGAGACACCAACACTGCCAGATGCTGAATCCATCCACTATGAGCTAACTGCCTTGTGGTCCCTCCTCACTGGGGGAAAGCCTGACCTAACCTCTTCTGCTTGAGAGCGGTAACCCTGAGGTCATTCTACTTTAGGAAAGCACTAACCTTTCTCACAGCTCAGGGTATAGTGACCTCTTAAGTCCTCCCTAAGTGGTACTGGTAACTTCACCACTGGTTTCTGGTGACAGAAATGAATGACTCCTCCAGTAAGTGCTAGTACCCTAACTCTCACGTTGGGGGGACAATTAGCTCTTACCCAAATACTTTGGGGCTAGAAAAAAGCACTGGCCTGACCTCATCTGTGAGGTCCAGAGCCCCAGACCCCATCCTGTGTGTAACTGGTGCCTAATGAACAAGCACTTAATAGTGAGAATGGTGAACCTGATCTCTATCATCAGGGGGCTATCCCAGCCTCAGCGCTTTCAAGGAAAGCTGTAATTCCCAACTCCATTCTGTAAATGGCAACCAAATTTGGCGGCATGCTTGGGGGATAGTGATTCCTTTTCTTTGGGTAACTGATGAAAGGCTCCCCAAAGAAAAGGGGTCAATGACGAATCAAATCCATTCTGAGGGGCCAGTGACACCATCTTTTGGAGGGAGATGATCCTACATAGCTATTTTTCCAGAGCCAGTAACATCATTTCTCAGAATAATGAAATAGGTATAACTTCACATCCCTATTCTATGGGGTGGAACTGGGACCCTCCCCTGCCCTCATTCCATTTCTGTGAAAGGAGACCCCCTGACCCACCTTTTTTGAATAATACTGACTATGGACTTGGTCTGAAAAGTATGCTGACTTCCAATCTATCCTCAAGAAGCAGCAATCATTAATTTCCACCATTGGGGGTACAATTCTACATATTATGGACAGATAATGATAGTAGATGTAGTCTTTTAAAACAGAAGGTGACTATGTACCAGGTTTGGAAAGCCCTGGCCCTGTTCTTTGGGGACACAGCAAACCCAAATCGCTGCTTCTAAGTGATATTCACTCCAAATCCCCATGCTCTGAAGGGGAGCACATTCAGATCCCTCCTTTTGGATGGTGATGATATTATCCTTGTTCTCTTGGGAAACAATAACCCTTGAGCCCCATTTGCAAGCGACAATGACCCCTGATCCTGTTCTCGAATGATTGGCAACATCGGATCCCTGTTTTTAAGGCTCACGGACCCAAGACTTCGGTACTGGAAGAACAGGAACCTGTGACCCCTGTCTCTTAGAGGATTACTAAATCTAATTCTAAACTCCAAGTGATGGTAACCCTCCCAAATCCCTTTCTTTGGGATGGGGGAGAGCTCAGATCCCAGTTTGGGGAGGCACAGTGACCTCGAGCTCCTCTCTAAGCATAAAGAAAAATGTGATCGACGTCTAAGTGACTTCAGGGATCCGATCTCCACCCGCCACGGGCGACGCTAGTACTCACGGCCCAGCTTCACTCCGGGCGGCGGGAAGCTGGTGCCCGCGCCGGGGCCGCCGCTGCCTCCTCCGCCGCTGCCGCTGGGACCACCCCCGGAGCTCGAGGCCCCCACGCCCCCACCCATAGCTCCGACTGACGTCTTCCCGCCGCCGCTGCCGCCTGGGCCAGAGGCCGAACCCCCGGGGCCGCCACCGCCGCCGCCGCCGCCGCCGCCTGGCTCCGCGAATGAGCTGGTCCGCGCCCGGCCCGAGCCCCCAGGGCCGCCCCCCGAAGGCGCGCCACCGCTCATGGCGCCGAGCGCAGGCCCAGGCCGCGGGGCTCGGGCTGCCCGGGTTGGCCCCGCCGCTGCCGCTGCTGCCGCCTCCCCCGGGCTCCGGCCTCTTCCAGGCCGCGCCGCTCGGGCTCCGGCTCCGGCTCCGGCCCAGCGCCCGCCGCGCGGCACGCCGGGAGCTGCAGTCCGCCGGCTCTGCGCGCCGCCGTCGCCGCTGTCGGCCCTCACAGAGAGCCGAGCGGCACGCCGGGAAATGGAGTCCGCAAAGACCTCAGAGTGGACCGCGGGGTTGATAGGTTGCTCTGCACCTCGGGAAACACAGTCCTGGGCAATAAGTTGGCCGACTGTGCCCACAGCGGACCCTGAAGCACTTTCGGAAGTAGGATCAGAGTCGCACACTCACTCCATTGCGGCAACCGCGCGTCCCTAGGTGTGGCTCAGAAATGTAGTACTCCATCAATGAGCTGTGTAGACGTGATGCAATCCGGGAAACGGAGTCCACTCGCTCACTTAGTATATTGGCTGTATGCCGACCAGCGCCAGGTGCACTCTGGGAAATTGAGTCGGAGGCCACGGACCCGCCGCAATCGGGCCGTGAGGAAAGCCGGGAAATGGAGTCATCGCCACGCCCTTACCGCATTGCAGGTGTGAAGCTACTCCCAAAGCACGCCGGGAAATGGAGTCCCATGTGATCCCTAAGCCCCAAGTGGATACTGCAGTTCCGGAGATAGGCTAGGAAATGGAATAGCATTCCTCCTCCCTCGTTCGCTAGGCCGCAGTCCCCGCTGGAAAATGTAGTCAACACCGAGGCTTCAGAGCAGTTGCTACAGCGAGCCTTTGTGTCTTCTGGGAAATGGAGTTCAAGGCAGCCTTCCCACTGACTGAAGGGGAGGGATCTACCATGATCCTGAAGCATGCTGGGGAATAGTCCAGACCGGATCCCGACCCTTTGTGAGACGAGACTGCAGAAGCTTGCCGGGAAGTGTAGTCTAATAGGTACCTTCGGGAGAGCGTGAGCGAAAGGTGAAAGACAGCAGTCGCCCAGGGGAGACTGAAGAAAGTTTCAACGCCTCCTGCCCCGCCGCCAGGTCCCAAGAAACAGCCGAAGTCTATCAGGGGCTGCTGGAAAATGGAGTGCAAACACTCCAAGTTCCAAGTTTCCACAAATCCGGAAGGAAAACCCTCCCCGCAAACGATTTAGGAAACAAAGTTTTCGGTGGTTTCTCAGGACAATACAGTCTTCGGATACTGTCTAGCTTTTTCTAGCAATGTAGGTTGCACCAGCAGGCTGAGCCGAAGTTTGAAAGAAATGAAAATAGAATTTTTCTTGAACCCCCATTAAGCTTATTGCATCCACACGCTTCCTAAATCACAGGATCCTGAAAGGCCCAAAAGAAGGAAGCCGGCTGCTAGGAGTAGCCTTGGGTTTTGTGCACGCATTATATCGGCCCACTTATCAATTCATACCCGGAAGGACAGTAGCCCCAAAGCGCGCTGGGAAAGAGAGTTCGTGTGTTTGTGTGTGTGTGTGTGTGTGTGTGTGTGTGTGTGTGTGTGTGAGAGAGAGAGAGAGAGAGAGAGAGAGAGAGAGAGTGCGTGTGTGTGTGTGTGTGTGTGTGTGTGTGTGTCCCGGAAGTACTTGGAACTAGAATGAAATCACCCTCCGCCCCTCCTGCCTTTGTGGAATGATGGGAAATGGAGTCTCTAGACTTCACATTAATCAGATCCTGTGATCACACTAATTGTCCTCTCCTTTCTGAAGCCTGAAGAAAGTCTCGTCCACTCGGTCTGTAGCTGACCGCAATTCCCAGCGGACACAAAACCCTGGGGTAGGACAGACGGTAGCGCTAAAGCCTTTTCAAACTGCATTAACCAGAAGGCAAAGCGCAGTCACACTTCCGCTCTCTTCTCAATGAATGAGGCGGCATTACGCACAGCCCAGAGAGGGCGCTTCTGGGAATTGTAGTAGTTTCTCAGTCAAACAGTGTCTGCTGCCCTCTGGCGGCGGCTCGGAGCCCACAAGCAAAAATCCGAGTCAAGCTCCAAAACCTGGGGAATTCTAAACTGGACCAAGAAGGTCTGCAAAGGCAGAAGAGCAGGGAGGAATAGCGGCGGTTACTTAAGGGCCAGAACCCGTGGGACATAAGCAGTGGGCCGCGCGTGGGCAACCGCCAGAGGGGATTGGGGTCCGTCGGAGTCTGAGGGCGTCAGCCTGAGGGAATCTTAACCCGAATGTCTGTACAAGCTGAGAACGTTTGTTGAGGGGTGCTAGAGCGGGTTGTAAGTGGTTATGAGGGGCCTATGGTTGTCTGGAGGTGCTCAGGGGAGTCTTTGAAGAGGTGAACTGGTCTTCCTGGAGACCAGTGAAGTCAGAGAGGACTTGGGGTGTCTGTAAAAGGTCTGTGGGAAACTGTGAGAAACTACTGGTGACTGAAGGGATCTCTGAGGGATGGTTGAGAAGCATAAGGAAGGACCTTTGGGGGACTGTGGGAGTACCGGAGATTATCGGTAAGAAGAGGGTCTCTCATGGGATGAATTAATTGATGGAGTGTCTTGAGATCTATAAAGGGCTTTACTTGTTTATCAGAGATCCCGGAGGATGTAGCAGGGAGCAAGGGTATAGTCTTGCAGAAACTGTGAATAAATTTAGGTAGGTCATTAAAGATTAGAGGAGCCGCTGGAATTTTCAAGACCGGATGCCACCTGTGACATCCCACGCAGCCAGAATTTGGGGCAGGAAGTCTGCTTGGGCTGTGGAATAACCTGGAGAGCAGTTCTGGAGCTGAGTGCTTTTAAATCCACGATAGACCCGGTTTAGAGATGCTTTGAAGGCACTAGAATCAGGTGCTGAGACTACTAGTCAGGGTCCTCCCTCCTCCCTCCAATGATGACATCCCTCTTTCTCCATCACACCACCACCACCACCAACTCAGCTGCATCTATGTTGCCAGGAGACAGGCCTCATCCCAACTTCCAGAAATAGCCCAGCGGCCCCCACCCTAAGGGAGTGACTTACATCACCCAGGAGAGGGAGCAGTTGCCCATAGGCCGCCACGGGAGCCTCAGTTTCCTGCCAGTACCCCAACCCTGGATCGTCTCTTCACTGCCAGCGGGCATCATTTGGGACCACCCACCCTGGACTGGCATGAAAGGAGGATGAAAGGAGAGTGGGTAGGAGTTTCCAGTTCCTTTCCCCTCAGAGTTACACAGGGTGATGTTTCACGGTGAAGCCAGTCCACAAAAGGCCCTGAGCCCTCAATTCTCACTCTGTCTCTTAGCAGCTGTGTGGCCTTGGGGAACTCCTTCCCCTCTCTGGGCCTCCAGCACCTCACCTGCACTGAACGGGTTGCGCTGTCTCTAAGGGCACCTCTAGCTTGGATTCCTCCTCCTGATTCTTTCACCTCTGATTCAAGCTCTCCAACTTGGGCTTCTAGCCTTATGAGCTCACCTCTCAGATCCTATGATCTTGAGATCCTGGTCTAGATCCAACGATCCTGGCTTTAGGAGAACTCAGTTGTTGAAAGAACATGGGGTTCAGAGACAGACTTCATTTAAAGTCCTAGCTGGGCTTAAGGTCTTTGGCGAGTGATTTTAAGTGAGCCGCTTGCCCCTACCTTGCTGGATGTTGGAGATAAAGCGCTGCAGCTCCCAACTAGGTACCTGGCACACCGTAGGTCAATCAATAGCAACTATAATGAAGCCAGTCCCTTCTTCTTCTTTTTTTTTTTTTTTGCGGCACGCGGGCCTCTCACCATTGTGGCCTCTCCCGTTGCGGAGCACAGGCTCCGGACGCGCAGGCTCAGCGGCCATGGCTCACGGGCCCAGCCGCCCCGCGGCACGTGGGATCTTCCTGGACCGGGGCACAAACCCGTGTCCCCTGCATCGGCAGGCGGACTCTCAACCACTGCGCCACCAGAGAAGCCCTAGGCAGTCCCTTCTTAACTTGCTGGCAGAGAGTGTTTCCATGGTTTGATGAGAAGATCACTAAGGTACCTTGTAAGGTCTACATTTCAAGAGACCCTGCAATCCTGTTGCCAAAGGACCCCCAGATTAATTCATAAGCGCCTCTAAGGAGAGTGATGTGTGGGAGAACACCAGACGTAGCGCAAAAGGAGCTCCATGGAGGAATGACTAGGAATTCACAAAGAGGAAAGGCATTGTAGGCAGGAGAGCAAGGGCCATGGCGTGGTGTTGAAGAGCCTAAGGGGCTCCCAAGGATGAGCAGATCCCCCATGGAAGAGGGGAGCAGACAGAGGGCCACACCATGCCTGAGACCTTCAGCATCAGGCCCAGGGGTTAAGTGCCGCCCCAGGTCAGGAGTTCATTTCCCAGGCTTGGATTTGCCTCATTCAGATGGGGTTAGGCCCTCTGGCCATAGGTCTATTTGGGGGTCCAGTCTAGGTCCCTGTCCTTAAGAACCAAGCAAAGGCTGTTGCCCTTCAGTGGCTGCACCCAGCACCCAGGACAGATCACTGCATCCAAAGGTCGAAAGTTTTATTGTTTTGAATACATTCTCCAGCAGCCCCCAACTTCCCTCCCCCCAACCCTCCGTCCCCAATACAGAATAAGGCTTGACCACAGACCCCCAGCCCAGGGGCCCCAGCTGGGAGGCAGAGGGGGCTTCCAGTTTGGTTTCAGGGCACCCCCTTCCCATCTGCCTGCCTACGGGCTAGTCCTAGGAGCAGCTGGGGGTGAAGGGGTTGGACTGGCGCTGGGGCGGGGAGTAGGAGAGGGATAGCAGGCACTTGTAGAGATTTGTGGCCTATGGGCGGCACCCCTCACCCTCCTCCACCCCCAACTCCCCCCCCACAGAATTTTTGGTTCATCATAAAATGTTCCTCCCTCCTCTGCTGCAACCCTGTGGGGGGGTATGAGAAACCCAGGCACTCATGGCCCCTGGAGGGGCAGGGAAGGCAGGATCGGGGCTGAGGATGGCCGGGGATAGAAAGGGAGAGAGGTACAGGAGGCAGAGAACAGGGAGGGAGACAAGGCTTTACTTCCTAAGCGATTGTAATAAAAAAGTTCCTGGGCTTTGAGGCCAGAGCCTCAGTTCAAATATAAATTCCCCAGAATGGAGGTGGCCCCCTTAACTCCCCCCTCCCCGCTACCACTCTGCCCGGAGCTTAGAAACCCACAGAAG